ATTGAGAGGAGCTGGTTGATAATACTCTGCAGTGGCCTTGCATCATACATGAAGCCTCAAGCTGTTTTTAAGATAATCACATTGCTCAAGAAGCTGAGAAGTGGCAGAGGAGGAAGGAAAGTGTCCAGGATCCTGGCCAGCAGTTGTGCTCTCTCCAAGCAATCCCCTCTCATATATGTGGGAAAACACATAGAACACGGATTGGATTCTTTGGCAGTTTAAGTCTCTTCAAGGATATTTTTTTCCCAGCAGACAGCATTCTCATCTCAAGGGACAGCCAATGATGATTTATAATTATGTTAATCATGATTTTATATCTATATAAATCAGTGATTTAATATAATTCTTTTCTACATATATAAAAAGAATCATGCAAGGTTGTTGGTAAAATTTTAAGAAGTGTTCACTCCAGAGTGGGAGGTAAAAATGTCCAAAATGCAATGATGTTGGCCTGTTCGTTTTAGTGAGGAAAATAACCTTTGGTCTTTGCCAGGCCTTAATAGAAGGCATGCAAGCTTTTCAAGGGCCAGCTGAAATGACTGGGATTCAAAACCATATGCATTTAATTTGTTCCGCTTTTAATAAGCACTAATAACTGTCTCATACAAGCAGAGACTTAATGGAAAGCATTGAAGAAGCTTTGGTGGGAGAGGGCACAGTATAGAAGCAGGTATGCTACTGCCTGTGATTTTTACTGTGTGTGTCTCTTCCTGTTAACATTGCTATCATAATTTTTACAGTATGGTCCATTCTGTGTTTGTTAAATACTACTGTGTGCTTCTGAAAAACAAATGATTTAACAACAGACTGGGAGTGCTTTGAAAGAGGAAGACAAAGCCAGATATTTTTTCAGCTAACCACCTCTCTTTTTCTCCTCACCAAAAATGTAATTGATATCATGTAGGGGAAGACGCAGTAAGGTGGGCTCTTCACTTCTTTGATGTTGCAAACACACATAGACTGGCATAAACCGTTTAATCTTCTATGTGTGTGTCTGTGTATTTACAGTACAAACTCTCTGTGTGTGTGTTGCGCGACAGGATCAGGCCAGATGGCTACTAAAAAGTAACAGAAAGCAGATATTAGCTCCAGGTTAAACAAGTCCCTATTTCCCTGGTAACCAAACAAAGTCAGCATCAGTCAAGAACCTGCTAGAATCAGATGAGACAGTTGGGTTTGTTTGGAACACTTGGAGCCAATCAAGGACAAGCTGGAATAGGCCAAAAGTTGGAGCCAATCAAGGACAAGCTGGAATTGGTCAAAAGTGAAAGTGACGAGCAGCAGAGTTGGGGAAGCAGAGCAGAGCAGCTGGGGTGCTGCTGGGCACTGAGCAGGGGGGTGAGGGGCAGCGCTGCGGGACCAACCGGGCAGCACCCCAGCTGCTCTGCTCCGCTGCTTCCCCAAGTCGCTGCTGAAATTGATGAGCAGTGGACTTGGGGAAGCTGCAGAGCAAAGCAGCTGGGGTGCTGCCAGATTGGTCCCGCAGCGCCACCCCTCACCACCCTGCTCAGCAATAACTACTGTAGTCTGGGGGGTGGGCAGCCCGCTTCCCTCCCAGAAACTCTCAGCAGCAGCGTGGGCCTTCCTGCAAAACGGTGGAGGGTTCGCCCCTCGCTGCGCTGTTCCCCGCCCACCTCCCGTCCTCCGGCCGGTCGCAGTGCGGGTCCCGGCAGATCTGTTACAGGGGTATAGAAGCTATCCAATTTGAGTTACGTCAATTGAGTAACTTAAGTTGAAATAGCTTATTTCATCTTTTGGCGCTGTCTATGCAGCAGAAAGTCCGAGGAATAGTGCTCTTTGAGTGCGTCTACACTGCAGGACTCAACTTGAAGGAAGTTACACAAATTGAGCTATGTCAATGGCATATCTTATTTTGAAATAGAGCACTCTGCCTCCGACTTCCCTTATTCCTCGTACAATGAAGGTTACAAGAGTCGGCGTAAGAAGTTTTCCAGTTTGACAGTATTTTGACACTGTTTTGAAATAACTGTCTGCTGTGTAGATGCGGACTAAGTAATTTCGAAATAGTGTTGCCGTGTAGACCTGCCCTAAGACATTTTCCCCTCCCTTTTCCCCCTGCTTATGCCGCTGATGAGAATTGCTAAACCAAACTATGACTTGCCCCTGAAGTAAAGAGATTAGACTGAGCTGCTGTAGTGATCCACTGAGACGAGCAGTTGGACCATTATCCAAACTGCCATTTTCCCCAGACAGGAGGAGATAATATGTGGCCTACCACTACCCAGAAGCACAGGACCCACTGTGTGAAATTAGGAGCTTTGTGACAGTAGATAAATACTGATTACCACACACAGATATTGACTGAAATTTAGATTCACAGTAGAAAATGATTGCTCCACAATTTAAAAAGGCAACCAGCAGCAGGATACAATGTGAAAAGCTGCCAGCTAAGGCAGTTATTACCCACATGGGGTCACTCTATCAACCCATAGGACAAGGTGTTTTCTCTATACTCCACATTCTCCTGCTCATTCCTTTTTGAAATGGCTCATTGCTCTAATGTGCTGCAGTTTTCCTTACCATGGTCAAGAAAGTTCTCTCCTTTTACTCAGAGGGTGACATTCAGAGGTGATGTGGAAGGGAATGTAAATTACATGTCACAGGGATTTCAGGGCTCAGGTCAAAACATAAAGCTGGTGCCTCACAGTAGAACATTTCAGTTCTAAATAAACACATTCTATTGCATCCTCGACAATTTTCATTTCCCCATTCAGTCCCATCCTGTTTTTCTTTTTTGTTCTTTAGCAGCTTTAACTTTAAAATTTCCCTCCTCTCCTATCACATCCTGCCCTGACATCTCCTGCTTTTCACACTCAGTCCCTCCTCCTTGGCCCTGGCGCTCTGATGTTGTGTAAAATACCAGTTATTTGTTAGTTGGCAGCCATGATTCAGACCAGTTTCTCATTTTTAGGGAAATATCATTTAAAATAGCCCCAGGTAATTGTTGACAGGTTCGTATTCCTTGTGTTTATTTGAGCCTCAACCAGCTTTTGCCTTGTTTTCAGATCCTTATTGAAATGTTGAAACAAAATACAGGACTATGTAGCACTTTAAAGACTAACAAGATGGTTTAATATGTGATGAGCTTTCGTGGGCCAGACCCACTTCCTCAGATCAAATAGTGGAAACTGAAATGTTGACATTTGAGGCTGAGCTGAGGCAGAGAATCTTGGTTCTAGTCAGCATTCCAGTCTGCTGGTGGGTGGGCAAGGCGGAACAGCAGCTCCTTCTGCTCACATGAACTGATTCTCATTTAAAAGTACTGTGTGAGAGGGGAGGAGTCTGAGCTGATGTGTGCAATGGCTTTTGTAGTATTGCACGTTGCTGCCTCAGCAGAGAGCACAAGGACTGAATAGGCAAAGGGAGGGACCCGTGGATGACTGGAGAAGTTCAGTGCCAAGGTTCAGCCCAACCCCTTTCACCAACACGCTATTCTGATGAAAGCCTGGCAACTTTTATTTGAAGAGCTCGTGTTGTGCTAGAAAGTCATTTTGGATGAAATAATAGCTCCACCCTGGGGTCACTCAGTGTAGTTGCGAGAGCCCTCTGGCAGTGCACAAGTTAAGATTCATCCATCTGAATAAAGAGAGCAGATCGCTTTGGTAAGTTGCTTTTCTTTCCTGTTGGGAATGGCTGTAGCTTATGTAGTACGCTAATGGAAAATGACGTTTTAAAATGTGTTGCTTAAATCCTATTAATTAGAAACATTGCCCTATTCTTTAGGCTCTCTGCTCCATATTCATCCCCCAAAATAAAGCTACCTCCTAGAAACAGTAAACCTGGTGACACACATGACTGTAAACTCCAAGCACCTAGCAAGCCAAAGGGTATCATCACTAAGGCTTTAAGCAGCCCCGATGCCATCACTGGTAGCTCAGTAGGGCTAGAGCAGCTTCTGGTGCCTAGCTCTGTGCTACAGCTAGCGTGTCCCTCTAGCCTGGTGGAGGTTTGTGCAGTGCTGTCCCATCCTTAGGACGGTTTGGCATATCCACCCCAGATCCTGTGCTTTGGGGGATCCCTATGGTAGCCACTCCAATCCTCTTATGGATAGGATGGCTCCCCATAGGTTAGCCTGACCTCCAGAGAACCCCAGCAGCCTGGGAGTGGCAGAGCCCAGAGGCAGTGAAGCCCAGGAGTAGGGAGCCCTGCAGCCCAGGGCTAGCTGCAGAATCTGGTGGCCCAGGGGCAGTGGAGCCTGGTGGCTGGGAGCAGGAAGCCCAGTGGCCTGCAGATAGTTTCAGAGCCTGGCCGCTGGGAACAGGGAGCCTGATGGCTGGGGCTGGTTGCAGAAACCAGTGGCACGGGCCTGGTTGTTGGGCCTGGCAGTGGCGGTGGGACCCCAGGGCTGTGGAGCCCAGTGACCATGAGGGGAGCCTGGCCAGGTCTGCTGACAGACCCCTGGAGAACCTGGAGTCAGACAGAAGAGGGGCTGGAACTGACTTCCCCTGGCCAATTCCTTCCTTTGGGACCAGTCAGATCCCAAGGGTGCCAGGCCTGGGAGGTCCAATCTGTAATATTATCTAGTGTATTCGTTTTTAATGAAATCAATATTGGCTCTTCCCTAATTCAATAGAATAGTCAAGAAGAAGCTGCTTTCTTTTAAACTTACTTTTTATTTTTGTTGAAGGATGCATAGATAACCTATGAGGCCATGCAGACATTAAATTATAATATGGCAAAAACAGAAAAGTTATGAGACCCTCAAATACAATACCATACATTTCACACAAGGAAGGAAGCAACGTCCAACACAGTTAAAAGAATTACATGCCAATTAGTTTGGTCAACCATTGTGCAATCCATGGAAATAAAAGCACACCTGGAACAAACCCATCCTTTCTTTAAACTATCCTATTGTCTTTAAGAATGTGTCACATTTTGATGAGCAGTAGCTGCTTTCCAATTTCATGTGGTGTTTTAAGACAAGCAAATGAATTCTGTTGTGCCAGGGGAATGGACAAGATGCTCCTATGTGTGGTGTTTTAAGACAAGCAAATGAATTCTTTTGTGCCAGGGGAATGGACAAGACGCTCCTATAATGCAAGCAACCTCATTTGGGAAAACGTCCATTCAGGATGTGATCCCTGATTTTTCTTGCTATCAAAAGCACATTAATCAGATCCAGTAGGACAAAATAAGTCTAAATGTACAGAGGGAGTTTAATGCACAAAGTCTTTAGGTGTATGATTTTCAAAAGTGCCTATATGATTTAGACACAAATCACCTTGGATTTACGCTTGTATGGCATTTAGTAGCTTAAAAAATTCTACCCTTAGAAACTAAAGGCAGCAGTTGCACGCTAACAGGATTTGAGCAGATTTTATATTGTGGATGTGTTAGCTGCAGATTGTGAACACAGAGGTGTAAAATGTGCTGATTTTGCTATTTAATATCCATGCTCAAAGCTACACCCTGGATTAGTTAAACATTTAAAGGAGTTGTAAATAAAGTGAAATTAGTCTACCTGTTTTTTCCCAAAAAAGTCATAGCTCACTTCTTGGGTTGACTCCTGCCTGCTCAAAAGCCATGATAATATTGTTAAATTAAAGACCAAGACACAAATAATCCCGCAGAAATACCGTAAGCATTTGAATGATTAACACAGAAGCAATTATACAGCTGCATAATCCCCATAGCTGATTGTTTGATGAGCAACAGTGCAGCAGCCTTCTAACAAGAACCTTTAAATGAAAATTAGTCAATCTTTGTACTATTAATATTATAATAGGATAATATATAAGTAGGTAGAATGTGATTTTATTTCTTCATTTGCTTCATGAAGAAATTAATCTCTAATTGCATTTACATTGGTAATATAAGTAATACTTCTCTAATTTAGTACTAGTAGGCCAAGATCTTCAGGTGTGGCAATCACTGTAGTCCATTAAAGTCCTACCATTTACTCTACCTAAAAATGTGATCTCATGTCCATAAATGAATACTAATGTTAAAAGGAGGAATGCATTAATGCATGAACATTCGTAAATAATTTATTGAACTTATTTGGGAGTTTAAATATGCAAAGCACATTACAGACATTGACTAATTATCTGGAACTTAAAATAGTTGTCTTCTGATTAACTGACTTCAGTGTTTCTGGCTGGGATTTCCAAAGGAATTCAAGGGAATTAGGTACCCAAATTCTTTTGAGATTTAGTAGGAATTGGATATCTGAATTCCTCAGGCACCTTTCAACATTCCAAGCTCTGCAATTTGTAGGGGAAAAAGTCAGATCAATGAATGGAATGGATACATTCTGAAAAGAAAGCCACAAAGTAAGTTTGTCCTATTTATGTGAATGGATCCCATGTTTAGTTGGTCCCTTGTCAAAACATCCATCCAATTGACATGCTGCTTATCTCTTGCATTTCAGGCTTGCTCTTTGAAGCACTTCTTCCTACCGAGAGTGCATGTATAAGAAGCATAGGGAATGTCCACCGGGATCAGAACCTGAACAGAAATGACACATACATGAATAACTCACCTCCAACCAGAGTACCCATTCAGAGAGATCATAGAAATAAAATCATTCAATAGAAGCTTGAGGGCACTCCACATCTCAAAAGATCAAGCCCCCAGGTACCATTCCTGCCCCTTTTGCAGTCAATGGGAGATTTTGCTTCAAATTTAAATGTGGACAGTAGCATATCTATACTAGCTATTCAAAGGGGTTCAGTGTAAAAGTAGTGAGGAAAGGGGACCCAGATCTTGGGGGATGAAAACAGAATACGGGAACACTACTTCATTTATCAAAAGTGGCAATCATAAAGTCAAACAGTCTGATTGTCTTCATTTATAAAAGGATTTACACTTTAGTGTAATTTCATCAGGCCAGATCCTTAAGCCAACCTGGGCACCACTCTGAGCAGATGAGGAGGAGGGAAACAGATGATTTATAGCATCCTCCCTTGTCCCCCTCCTATCCTGGAGTTGTGCCCAGGTCTAAATTATACCTAGCAGGGATCCTGGAGTGCAGCAGTGCTCTGACCACATCACCTTTCCTTCACCATACCCTCAACACAGTGGCCCTACATCTCAAGAGGAAATCATAGGAACCTGTGAAGCTAGCTTTTATGGCTGATTTACACCACCCAGAGCGGTGCAAAGGAAGCATCTCTAATGGGCTGGGCTTTTTAGATGACCCTTTGCATTTAATATTTTTGAAGTTTCCTCACCTCCTTGTCATTGGTCAATCCAAATTTCTGCAGGTCTACAACATTATAATAAAAGTTGTTCAAGGTGACTTCAGTCTCCTGTATCTGAAATGATACAAATCAGAAAGTCAGTTTGTCACCATACTTTCTAGCATGACAATCTGATAAAGTTTCCATGTGTTGTAAAGAAAAATAGTTGAAAGGTACAAAAGAAAGGGGAGCGGAGTGTGTAAAACAGGACCATTTTAGAAACATTTGAACATTATGCTGTAGTATTCTTCACTTTTGTATCTAAGGGTATGTCTACACTACAAAGTTAATTCGAACTAACAGCCATTAGTTCGAATTAACTTTGATAGGTGCTACACAGGCAAACCACTAGTTCGAACTTAATTCGAACTAGTGGAGCACTTAATTCGAACTAGGTAAACCTCATTCTACAAGGACTAACGCCTAGTACGAATTAAGTAGTTCGAATTAAGTGCTGTGTAGCCACTTAATTCGAACTAGTGGGAGGCTAGCCCTCCCCAGCTTGCCCTGGTGGCCACTCTGGGCACCACCAGGGAAACTCGTCTGCCCCCCTCCCGCTCCCGGAGCCCTTAAAGGGGCACGGTCTGGCTACGGTGCCTGTGCCAGGTGCAAGCCTGCCAGCACCCAGCCAGCAGACCCTGCACCCGGCATGGCACAAGCCTGCCACCCAGCCCTCCGCCTCTTCCCGGGACCAGGCTGGCGGGTCCCCGGACCTCTGCACTAGGCACAGGAAAGTCACCATCTAGGGCAGGATAGCTGCCAGCCTGGCCACCCAGGAGCAGGTGTGCATGAAAATCAAG